TTGTGGTAAAAAAAAATCGATTTTTTTTAAGTTCAAAAATCGGCTGTACACACTTAAATTGTTTCGCCGAGATTCCAACAGCCGAGCAGCTCTGCAATTTATTTTGCTGAGATTCAGTAAAACAATTGCCGATACTCAGCTAACAAATAACATTTTGCTGCAGCTAGCAAACAGATATCAGCAAAAGTAAATGCCTAGGTAATCGGCTGTTGGAGATTTTACCGAGCTAGATTAAGTATGTATATAACATTAAACCAAAGCGCCAGACCGTATTGCATCAAAAACTGCTGAAACATTGTGGGTTTGACACGGCGCAAGAGAACGACCCAAATTTGAGTTTAGTTTACTCATAAATCACATAAAGTGCAGGAGCTCAGCGATGAGTATTTTTTTTTCATGTTTTTTCAGGTTTTTCCAGGTTTGTCCAGGGAAAACTTACCGAATATGAGAAAAGTAATTATTGTATTCATTCAGTCTATTGGTACTACTCCTGCAAAATTGTTTCTTATAGTTTAGGCTACATGTGCTGAAATTCTGAGCCTAATCGAGTTTGAACCTGAGTTCTATCCACGAAAGAGTGAAGGATTGTTATTTTTCTATACATTCCAACTAAAATCCTCATGTAAACTTTTAACCCAAAGCGCCAGCTCGTGTTACAAGCAAATGAGTTGATATTTTTAGCGAGTGGACTTTTGACTTCATGACACAAATCTGGAGGTTGCATGTTTGAAAAAAATGATTAAAAAAATTTCCCAAATAAACGTGGCCAGTCTAGTTCTGGAGCTTATAAAAAAAAAACATTTTTTCAACAAAATTATTTAGCCTTCCAAAAAACATTGAAGGCAGAATAAGAGCTTATTCAAGCAAAATTATGCTTCTTCAGCTAAAAAAAATAGCTTATTTGCAATTTAACCAGGACAAATTGTTTGTTGGGCTACTGTAAAATAATTAATATAACAATTGCATTTATTTTTTATCAACTTTAAAATTTTAATTAACAACCATGCAAGTTTATATATTTTTTTCTGATGTAAATACACTGCACACAAATCTTTTGCTAATGAATAACCTAGTTTACACCACTTTAAACCAAAAATATTTGAGCCGGGAAAGTTTTATGTATTTTAGACCATTTTTTACGTGGTCTTATTTTCCTTTTCTCCGATGTTCACATAAAACCAAACTTGATTGAACTGGTGTTAAAAAATCATGAAAAATCAAAGAAAAATTTGATACATACAAAAATATTCAAGCTCCACATTCAACGATAAAACTCACGTCAGAGCTCGATAAAGTTCAAATAAAGTTCCAACAGAACCTTCAACATAAATTTCTGACAGAACTTTCAGATTCCATAAAGTTACGACCAGGGGTTAACATGGTTGACGTTTTTTACTACACTCGCTTCGCTGTCGTGCGCGACAGTCTGTTTGTATTCCTTCACTCATGCTCTACCATCGTCTCTCGTACACAACACAAACGGTAGAATAACATTCGAGCAAAAATAAAATGATCAAATAACTATGATATGACATGTGTGATTTCGTTCTAATTCCTCAAATTGGTATAAATTAAACCATTTCTGATAAGAAATGTTATGACTAGGACATTATTGCTTGCTGTTTTCAGAATTCACACAAGCACAACATCAGCAGCTCTTATTATGAGAAAAACTAAAATACATACATTCGTGACGGTCTTCGGCAACAGTGTCGTATGACACAGCCTGTCATATGACATTTTAGTTTGATACTGTACTATGACAGCTTGTTTTGCAAGTGTCGGAGACAAAGGCAGTCGATTATCACAGAAAATGTGTCGACTACCGTGACCGTTTACAAGACTGGTTACGACAGATCTTTCAAGTTCCATAAAGTTCAAATAAAGTTCCGACAGTACTTACCTCCCAAGCAACCAAAAGTTAGCGACGCTAGTGGTGTAGTGGTAAGCATGGTTACCTCTCACCCCAGCAGGCCTGGGTTCAATCCCAGTCGGTGCCGCCGGGATGTTCTGAGGCATAACATCTCTGATCACGCCTTCCTTCGCAAGGGAAGTAATGCCGTTGGTTCCCGGTTCATGAGTTGATGAGTCGTTAGGTAAGGTCCAGGTGTGGGAACTGCCTCCCAGACGTCGGTAGCATTGGTGCTCAGCACGGAAAACAAGATCGACGGAAAACAAATAAAGGAAAAAAAAGCGACCAAAAGCTACGCATTCAACAATAAAACACACTTTGAAGTTCCATAAAGTGCATATAAAGTTCCAACACAACTTTTTGGCTACTTTAGAAGCTATAGAAAGCACACGAGGAACTTCAGGCTTCATAACACCAACCGGTGGAAACTAACGATTTTAAATTGGCTCACTACTTGACTAGCCTATTGGTCCCAATAATCAAATCGATTAACGTAACCCATTCTAGTCAAAATTCTAGTACTACACTATGTTTGTTTTGATTCGCTATGAAAGTTTGACAGATAAAATGTGGGGTCCGTGGATTTTCTTATATTTCGAGGGGTGCATCGATTAGCTTGGGACCGAAGATAGTACCAGAGCTGAGCCAAGAAGTTGATCACGTTTCTTCGGGACCTTCTGGTCTCAGTTACCTCTATGATAACACGGTGATACACATCAAAAAACTTTCCAAGTGACCTATTGCAAGGTTGCAAATCTAGTCGAGTACACTATTAAAACACATTTAAAATTGTTCTTGCACCCTCAAAGTTTAACGTTATTGTTAATAAAGCGATATTTTTACGGGGTAACCCCGGCATAGAGGTAAGCATCCATACCTCTCACGCCAAAGTCACGTATTCAAAGATCATCCCCCGACATGTCACAAATAACCCAAGAGCGTTAAAGTGACTATAATTAAAAAAAAAACGATTTTGGGTAATTGACCACATACTATCATGAGTAACTATATCATTTTTCATCAGATTTTCATACGGTTTTGGAAAGCAAAAAGCCAGAGCTTTTGAACTACACATTTATGGTTATATTCCTGTGAAATTTGTTGAAATGTTTCTAATTAAACATGGTTTTATATCATCAAATAGCATTTTTATAACTTTAGACGCCATTAGAGAAACCAAAACATGACCTTACCTACCCCCTTGCTACTTGTTTTCTGTGCATTTCTGAGGTTTGGCTTTGGCAACGTGCATCGGTAAATAAAATCTTTTTTTTTTTGCACGCGATTTTTAGTTTCCATTTAAGTGTAACATTTTTCCGTTTTTTTATAGTAACAGAACCAGTGTTGGGAAAATTGAGTTTCATGAGTTTTGCTTTAAACCCGAACGCAACCGAAACTTCCATAAATGCTGGAAGCAGTCGCTTCGTGTCTGCAATCGGTCAAGAGAAAATGGAGATAACATTATTTTACCTTCTCCTTCTTAGAAAACGACGTGCAACGGAATCCTTTTTGCGTCGATTGAACTCTCAGCTTCAACTTTACACGTTGTGAATGGCAGCCCTAAGTATGCACCTTTAGAATTGATAAAACTATCCATAAAATGTTGAAAAACGATCCTTAAAAAGCATCCAAATGATCAATAAAACACCAGAAAATATCCCAAAAAAGATGTGGATGATCCATAAAACATATTAATATGATCCCTTTTTTATGTAAAATTTAGCAACACAATTGTAATAATGTGCATTAAAATTGTACAAATTACCCATTAACATATTGCAAAGGATCCATAAAACATTCAGCAATGAAGCTTAAACTGAAGCAAGCGATCCATAGAAATTCAAGTTTGCGCATTTAAAAATAAAGGCATGATCCATAAATTAGACGTAGGGGAAATGTAGGTAATGTCGGCCTACATGTCCCTAATTTGGGCCCATACATAAAATCAGCAATCGACTAAATTTTCAATGGTGACCAAAAATATCCATTAGTACCATCCTAATGACGCCTTCATCTAGATAAAATTGATAAATAGCGATGGGCCCAAATTAGGGACATGTAGGCCGACATTACCTACATTTCCCCTATATTGTTCTTGTTTGGATTTTTTTTTTATTTTGGTCCATAAACCTTGAAAAGTAGCTACTTAGATTTACTGTTCTGCCCATGTTTTTTAGGTAGAGATGCGGAGCGACGGGTAAACGTCTATGATTAGGAAAGAAGCTTCTGTAATAATCTTCTTAAGAAGCTTCCTATGGAACAATTTTTCAAGGTTTATGGATCAAAATAAAATAAAAAATAGTTTTCAAAACATGAAAAATATACGTCTAATTTATGGATCATGACTATTTTTTAAGTGCGCAAACTTGATTTTCTATGGATCGCTTTCTTCAGTTCAAAGTTCATTGCTAAATGTTTTATGCATCATTTGCAACATGTGTATGGGTAATTTCTACAATTTAAATGCTAATTCTTCAGGAATTTTACGGTAAATTTGTACAATTATGTTGCTAAATTTTATATAAAATTGGGATAATAAAAATATTTTTATGGATCATTCACGCTTCACCGGGTTTTAATGTATCATTATTGATGCATCATTTATTAGGTTTTATATTCAAAAGTATGGTTGCCGTTGTGAATAGTCTTGCAATAACAAAGGAGCTTGTAAAATCAATATCAAGCATGATATTTTGATTATACCATCACTAAACAGAACATTTATTACTAAACTTAAATGCTATTTAAATCCATAACTGGGCAGAATACGCTACTTTCATGGCACTTTTTTCACAGATTTCATAACCTCCCTCCCACTTGAGTCATGACATACTTACAAATGTGAATTTAAAAATACATAACATATTTTTTTAACTGTAGTGGAGCCTACGCTAACACTTAATTCTGTTTTAAAGCGATTTTTATTCGTCCGTATTTTTGATCATCTGATCCTAAATTTCAACCAAATTTAGTTGCACTTCTAAACAATCGGAAAAATCAAAGTAAAATATCTTGTCAAGTTTACACAACAAACATCAGTATAAGCTAAACCCAATTCAAACGAACAAGCAAAAACAAAACCACCTACCGTAAGCATCATAAATTGAGTTCCGAACACTGTCGAAGTGGTGACCCCACCGGTGAAAATCTTTTGTATAAACACCGGTGGATTATCGTTGATGTCTTGCACGTTAACAAGAATCCGTACCAGCGTGTTGTCATTGTGGTAAAATAACTCCCCCGTATATTTTTCAAAGTATGGCGCAAGAAGAGATGTTGATTCTGCAGCTTGTCTTCCCACTTCTACCTCCGCAATACGATTATTATCGCCTCTTGGTGGAGCATCTAGACTGCGCGACTTCTTATAACGTTCATAAATATTGACATATTGGTTCACCACCGTCGTCGGTCTAGTTGTCCTTTGATGATTGTTGAACGGTATCCTCTGAAGAGCGACAGCTTCCGGCCGGCTAAGACTTATGCTCGGTGGCGTATTGATGCAGTCCTCTGTCGCTTTTACAATGAGCGTGTGATTGGATTTGGTTTCCCTATCAAGCTCTTTTGTCACCTAAGGGAAGAGGAAATTGTCACGGATTGCATGTATGATTGTTGAATGCCTTAAATGAATTGGTGTGTAAAGATAAATCGATTTAGTTTGATTGAAATTTGTTACTGGATTGGATATAAGAGTGGGTGTAGGTATTTTACAAAAGTAGCACATTGTATGCGTAGCTACAAAAAACACTGTTATCTAAGCAAAACTCTTGTCTATTTCCATAGTGTGAATGTCAACTCAAAAATTAAAAACATTTTTTTTTTTTCGCTGTTCGGGACATAAATCCACTGCGACCAATAATTTGGTATATTGTGGTGACACGGGGTATCCTTAGTTTTGTGGTCGTAGGGTTCAGGTGTGGGAACTGCCTCCCTGGCGTCGGTTGCATTGGTGCTCAGCAAGATCGACGAAAAACAAATCAAGGAAAAAAAAACATGACAAAATATATGTTTTTAGTTACAATTTCTAATATTGTATGGAATGTAAAAAATGTGAAATTTAAGATAGGGTCAATAATGTTGCGAACCAGTAGGGTCACAAACTAGCACAATTACCATAAAACAATACTATTTTTACATGTTTCATTCCAAACAAAAGCCTGATAAGAGAGGGCAATTTTTTGCACATGGGAAACATAGGGATTAAGCAGTCAACATCGCCTACTTTGGTCAATTCTCTCTTTAATAATTTGATTTATAAATGGGTACCGGTATGAAAACCGATGCCTAGTAGGCTGCACATCAACAGTATCGAAAAAAGCAACGAAGTTTTCCGTAGTAATTCAGTTGTTTATGTTTTCATTTCGTAGGATTTGACAGCATCGAATTAAAAAGTTTCCCCGATAGTCCCACCAAGATTTTTTTTATTAACGTATAATCAATCATCCAGAAAGTGTATACAATAAGGATGGGCTAAATTTAGCACGGTGTATTACAAACCCCTGTACCTCACTGCTCGTGAGATTTATACCACAGACAAACAAACGTAACTCTTCATTGTGTATCTTCGTTCATGCATTTAACGGTTGATTTGAATATTATCAGTTCCGCGAACTACTCGCCGCAGCGCTGGCATCTGATCACTTTGACGTTTCTATATATTCTATAGAACTTTTATGCAATATTGTTTACGAGTTAGCGAGCAAGCTTGTTTTCCGCGAGAAGCCAGATAGATGTCGTTACTGAGGTTATATGTTTTGAGATACTATGTTTTCAAGAACAAGTTTTTCAAAGAGTTACGTCTGTTTGTCTGTGTTTATACTAAGGCCCTCAATTGTGCCAAATTTAAATGAATTTTGTTGTGATTTGTATTTTGGGCGTATTTTGAAGAAAGTATAGGAAATGGAAAGAAATATAATTTGCTTGTCAACAATTAGTATTAAAAAATCTATCTTGGCATATTTTTTTTTTTTTTTTGAAACCATCATCATTAAGAACAGTGATGGCCAAAGTTTAGCCCGAGTGCTCTATGGATGCAACAACCTCAGCTAGAATTACTTTTTGCATTACGAATGTATGACCGAAATTATTAGGAAATACGCAAAATTCAACTTAAAATATGACCACCGATCAAAGATACAGCTATTGAAAAAAATGGGCATGAGCACCACTGATTTAGAAAGTACGTTGACGCTTTTAGGAATCTTTGAATGAAAGTGAGTGTGATTGTCATTTTAATTAGGGAATTTAAATTTAAAATTAAATTTTATTTAGATATCCTAGATATCTACGTCTACGTATCTAGGACTACATCTGTGATTTCTATATGGGGTAACACTTTGTGAAACCCGAAAATGGAACATGTAACAATATTATGTAAGATTTTGAACATTAATAACTCAGCTGCCCCTGGACTAATTTCAATAATTTTATCACTAAATTTTTACACGCTTCAATGGCAATACTTTCGACTAATAATTTTCAACAAGAAACTATTAAAAAGGCGGTGATGTCAAGAATTGTCCAATGTACAAATAAAAAAGGGATAAATTTATTACTGTTTTCATGACATAAACGTTCTTCCCAAACCTAGTCGTCATAATCGAGTACCACTTGGTTGCACATCATTCTGCTTTAACCTGAAATGATATAAAACAGCGCTGCTGTCTAGCCTCAACTCATTTTCGCTTCGGACGGCTTGGTGAGCAAGCAGCAGAAGCATCAATAGCAGCAGTAGGAAGGTGGTGGAAGGTTGGTAGTCCACTCTTCTACCCAACAAGCAACATACTGGCAAAAGAGGAAAAGGTAAAGGAGGCACCAAGCGTCATCGCAAGGTTCTTCGTGATAACCGCCATCCGTCGTCTGGCTCGCCGTGGCGGTGTCAAACGTATCTCCGGTCTGATCTACGAGAAAACACGAGGTGTGCTGAAGCTTTTCCTGGAAATGTGATCCGTGATGCTGTCACCTACTCTGAACACGCCAAGCGTAAGCGGCCATGGATGTCGTCTAAGTTTTGAAGCGACAGAAGCACTATGTACGGTTTCGGAGTTTAAATCATCACCAACTTTAGCAACAAAACGGCCCTTTTCAGTACCAACAAGCTTATTGCAGCATAGAGTTGGAATATAATTTGTGCCTGTTTGTCCATATTCAGAACCACACGCCCCAAACGGCCATACAAAATGCTCTCCAGAGATGTAATCTTATAACCAAACTTGGAAGCAAGAGTGCAAGTGATTTTGATCGATTCTCTTCATCAACTTTCTCTTTGAAAAAAAATACTACAAATTTGGTACGCCTACAATTCACAAACGGAAAGAGTTAAGATAATAGATGAACGATCAATTAAAAGAACTAAATGCTCTTCACATTTGTTCCGTCCACTAGCGGACCTACGTCAAGCTCCGTTCGTGCCCCTAGATTTGTTTTCCGTCGATCTTGTTTTCCATGCTAAGCACCAATGCTACCGACGCCAGGGAGGCAGCTCCCACACCTGGACCCTACCTATCCACCCATAAACTCATGAACCGGAGACCAACGGCTTTACTTCCATTCCGAAGGAAGGCGTGATCAGAGATGTTATGCCACAGAACATCCCGGCGGCGCCGACTGGGATTGAATCCAGGCCCGCTGGGGTGAGAGGTAATCACGCTTACCACTACACCACCGGCGCCGCTAATGGCCGCCGCTCGCGCCTGAATCAACACACTGAATGGGAAATTCATTTGCAGTCGGGTTATTCGCGAAAGAGAAAATCGATGAAGAGAATCGATCAACAATGATAGGTCCTTTTCTCGTGTTGCGCGAGAATTTCTCGAGTTTTGCCTAGAAATCTCGATGAACATTTCAAATGGTCCTATCTGCTTTGATCGATTCTCTTCATCGACTTTCTCTTTTGATAACCACGCCTACGCAAATGCATTTGGTGCTATTTTTGCCACAAAGTTTGATAGCAGAAGTTCCTATCTAGTGCTTAGAACGTTGAACACAGCAGGGAATGCTTTTGAAGTTGAGTTATTAATGGAAGAGAAAGTCGATGAAGAGAATCGATCAATGCAGATAGGACCTTTTGAAATGTTTATCTAGAAATGACTAAAATAACAACCAAGTTTTCTTACTCTTTCCATTCTCTCTGCTTTCCTGAATTACAACAACAATGACAACAAATGTATAGGAATGTTGCTCAACTAGAACAAACTCACCAAACCCATCCATGATCGATTCCCAATGTTGCGGGTCCACACACTACAAACTCAAACTGCACCACCTTTACATTTACCCGATTCAGAAATGGCAGAAAACGACCCGGAACTCGTTCACCCACACAAAATGTATACATTCTGCATAAGGCAGATCGGTTCCAAATCTATCTCCACGTGCAAAGATCCCGATCCCACACGATAACCACCGGCAAACTGACATGAATGACCATAGTTCCGCGCATATTTTACTCCACCCAATTCTAGTCGAACTATAATAAGATATGATTAACTTTTCATCCATATCATTACCATTTTTGCTTGGCTCACACTCTCATCACCAATCCTGGTCATTCTCCGATCAGCTAAGCTCAAACACTGCATGATCGAGCGACAGCATGGTGCCAGTACCATCTTCCAATCGGTAAAATGTTTGGAGATTTGAACATTTTACCAAAAATATAAATTTCAGATGCGAAAAGAGAAAAAAATATTTGGTAGAACAGTTCGGTATAAATAAATTGTTCTAATTATAATAAATATTTGTTTTGAAAAAGGTTCTAATTTCAAAAAAAAAATCAGCTCCTAGTTCTAGCACCGTGGTGGTCAAGCAGTTTTGCCAGTATGGGAAAATCCGTTAATTCATCCACTCATCAACTAAGCACATATTCGTTGTTCCCTAGTTTGAAGTGGTTAAGACTAGGGTTCTAATGCATGGTCATTATCGGTGTCATTTCTTAATTTTGTTGTCAAAGAATCCAATTTTGACACTACTCCGAAGGGTATAAATAGCGGGAACTTTCAATTAGATTCGGATCCTTGCGATAAATGCAAGAATGACAACTGTAAAAAAAATCGAATACTTCATCATTTCTCAATAGTGATGGAGTAATACGACATGCACTAAACTAAGGACACGGGATATGCTACAATAAATCAAATTACTGGTTGCAGTGGTGTTAGGTCCCGAAAAGAGGAAAACAAATAAAAAAGCACATATCTACGAAACGGTTTCTACCACAGCAGACGCACAAGAATAAATGATAGGGATAAGTGCCGTTGTTTTTAAATAATCAAGCAAAAACAAGCAAACGAGCCCATACTGAATCACCCCCTGACTATTTAAATCATAACCAGCGTAAAACTCTGAATAAACTGAAGTCTTATGAATTCCTAGAGCATGACTCCTATATGATATCTTACCGTCAGAATATGAGTATGAGGATCCAAATAAAAATACCCATTTTCATTGCCATGAACAATAAAGTAGCACACAGTAGTCGGTGGATCATCTAAATCATCAACTTCGTCTCGATCGATCGTATCCGGCAATTGTCTTCGTTCCGTGCCAGGTTTAGCATGTTCGGTGAAATTCACCGTTATCTCTTCTACTAAAAACTGCGGCTCATAATCGTTGACATTTCGAACATAAATGGTCAGGTCCAAATCAGAACTTAGTGGTGTAGGAATTCCTTGGTCGTACGCTTCGACTCGTAGCTCATGTACCTTCTGACGTTCTCGATCAAGATGCAGTTTGAGCGTGATTGATCCAGTGTCTTCATCAATCGAGAACGACCGATAATTGCCCATTGGATCGGGTTTGAAACGGTACTTCACTGCTGCATTAGGGCCTATATCACCATCCTTGGCCATGACTTGTATAATGTTCGTTCCAACAGTTGCATTCTGTAAAGAAATGCATTCACACAGATACAATTTTGAATGATATTCTACGTACGGTGACTTACCTCTGGAATACGAATAGTTACGTTGCTGGATGGAGAAACAAACTCCGGAGCGTGATCGTTGAAATCTAACACACAGATATCGATTTTTTCGTTGACAGTATTCGGTGGACTTCCTTCATCCCTGGCCATTACAAGCAGGGAATAGTTTCCATAAAGATTGTTTAGTGACCGACCCGAATATATTTCAGCCACACCTCTCTCCCTTTGCTTTAGAAAAAATATATCCATTCCAGCAACATCGATGATATCAAATCCAATTAGGCCGTTTCCTGTCTTTGGGTCATCAGCATCAGTAGCCTTCAGCACCAATAATGGCTCTCGAACATCATGAAACTCAGTGACTTGGACGCATCCGTCAGGTGCTTGTATTTTTGGGGAGTTGTCGTTCTCGTCAAGAATGGAAATGCTGCAATAAATAACATGAATTTAGAAAACTGGATACAAGGGATCAGTTTTTCCAAATTGAATTCTGATATTCAAGTGTACAAGTGAGTGAGCTTCTTTTATAATTTATTCTTTTATTAAATACTGATTTTTTAATTTTGTCATTATTGGGAAGAACTCATTTTTTTGAAAACATTTAATTTTCTAACGCTTGAAGATTATTTTGAGAATATGATAATGCACTGCTGGGAAAAGAAATCTCGATATCACTAAATTTAGATAAATGGACTATTTTTCTATCATTTACCTATTTTGATTGTTTAGTTTTATAGCTATAAATTATCAACTGAAACACGACCGAAAAGTGGTGGGCATGGTATTCTGTGACGTTACATGATAAACTGTGATACTACTTGCTTTTATAAATTTGTAAAATCCAAGTTGTTTCAAATTTCAAAATTTTCATAGACTGAAATTTTGAAAAATATTAAACAAAAACTCGAATTTATAAAAATGCTGGATCGAAACCTTTATGAAATATTCTGTAGGCAAAAAACATTAATTTTTTAAAGAGTTTTAGTTGGGACAATTCCTAGCTCGAGATACTAATATGTATTCTCAACTAACTCCATAAACTACGTAGATAGTTAGGTACACCGGGCAAGTTGAAATGCGGGGTAACTTGAAACGGAAGCTGTAACTATATGCGGAAGTGAGTTATCACTGTGATTATTTTTAACAGCAAAATAAAAAAAAAACTTGTATGTAAAATATGACCAAATACGTTATTCATACGGACGAGTGCCAGAATGGACGTTAGCCATACTGTTATTTTCGTATGTGGACGTTATCCATAATACTCGATAGCCATAATGCACATTTTCCATAATTGTAATAATCAAATTAACTAACATTTTTCAAAACATTGGATGTAGGCTTTCCATAATATATTTATTGTTAATTCACATTTTACAACTGGTGGGAGCTGAAAAATTAACTATTAAAAAAAACTAGGTCAAAGAATAAATAAATTCTCGAGGATGAAACAAACTTGATAAACCGCTGTTTTGTAAATCTCATCGTTTATTTGATGATTTAAAGTTCATTTTCACTTATCTGTTAGTATGTAACTATTTTTTTTAATTAATTAAAATTGAAATAAACCCGTTATTTTATTTTTTTTCAAACTATTTTATCTGTCAAAGAACAGCTCATGATGTCAACTCCAATAAAAAAAATGTTTTGTGAATATTTCAATAGAATTTTTATTAAAAAAAAAACAATATCATAGAAAAGCTCATAATGTAAAGAAGTAGTCAACTCTAAGATAAAAATATTTTGTGATTATTTCAATTGCATTTTCCATAAAAGACAAATTTCAAATAACAGGTCATTCTGTGAAGAAGGAATCAACTCCAAGAAATCTTTTGAGAATTTTCAGATGTGATTTTATCTGTCAAAGAACAGGTCATGATACAAATAAGGAGTCGACTTAAAGAGAAAATTAATTTGTAAATATTTCAATTAAATTAAAAAAAAAAATTGTAAAGAAGGAGTCAAATCCAGAAAAGATTTTAGTTTTGAGAATTTTCAGATGGAATTTTCTAAAAACTTTTATCTAGCAATAAAAACAGCACAAGATACAAAAAGGAGTCAACTGAAGTTCTTGCTCTTGAAAGAGCAACATAATTTAGAAGTACTTTATGATAGAATTTTAAAAGCATTTATCCGTTAAAGAACAACAAATCCGTTAAAGAAGGAGTCAACTCAAAGCAAGAAATGATTTATGCATTTCCATTGCATTTTTTTATAGAGAAAAAATATTTGTGAGTACAGTACCCGTTTGACTTTGGCATGGTTCGGTTTTGGCAACTAAACCACAAAGCCGTACGATTTGATTGAACCGGCCGGTTAACTGACATTATTGGTGCTTAGTTGAGATTCTGGACAAATTTTCTGCAAAATCGGTCATATTTTAGAGGTACTTGTCAATTTTGTAATTTTCAGGTCAGTTCAGCTTCGAACCTGTTCGGATACGGTTGTGTATAAGTTTATTTCTGTTTTGTGCGTGCGTTCGCTGATTTTGCCAGATTAGCGCTGGCACTCTGCCTCCCGGACGGTTATACGTGTGTGATTGGTGGTTTTCTCGCTTTCCGAGAAGTTTTGGAATCGAAAAAGAAAACGTGATACATCATGATTGCAGGCATCAGAAGAAATGTCGCTATCTGCGTTGTTTGTTTTTTTTCTTCGCTTGTGCTCCCGTTACAGAAATTTGTGGCGTCGCGTGTGATAGTTTTTGATTTCAGTTTGTTTACGCGTTGTATGATTTTGTGAGCGGTCGCTTCGTGTTCGCGTCATGGAGCAATCGACTACATTCGACCAGAGGATTGATCCCCGTAGGGCGGGTCTATGATCGGAGCTACTACACCAAGCGTGACATAGCTGCTTGCAAGGGATTCAGTTGGACTGATTTGGTGAGATTGTTCCATTTTTCTACTTTTGTCTATTTAAACCTAATTTCTATGAATGCGTATCGTTTGGAATCATTTGATTCGGATGAGACTCTTAACTTTTATTTGTTTACATTGTGTTTCAATTGGTATTCTTAAGAACTTCACAAAATAAGGTTTCAATATTTAAATTGAGCAGCTCGACTAGCCTGGTGGCTGCCGCTTTTGCTTACTGAGTAGAAGACCGTCGGGGATCCACATTGTAAATATTCCCTATTTTCAGCTTTTTTACAGGCTGGAGTTGTTGTTTGAACCATTTAGTTTATCAATTTAATTTATCTGTATAACAATCATTCACAAGCATTCTTCCAGGTCAATTCAAGAATAGTTTGATGATGATAAATCTTCCTAATATTCACATTACAGTTATGACCCGATCCTGTCAATCTCTCCGCGCATCAGACTGTTATTTTTCAATAATTCCACATAATTGTAATTTCATACCTTCCTCCTTCAAGATGAATGTTTAAGATACACATACTTTGCTAGCTGACAAAATGGGGTCATTGCTGTATAATTATTCTCTTTTTGCAGCCTTCATTCAGACTGGATCTATTGATTTAAATTATTTGAGTTTTCTTCCAGCTCTTTGATGACGGAACATCACTAGATTTATACTGTAATGATTCACTCTTACAGCTTTCACCCTGGTTTTGTCTGTTGATTTGATTTGTTTGAATTGGTTTTCAGCTCTTTGGTGTTGGCAGTCGCGGGCGATCAATTTTGCTCATGCTCATGCTCTAAGTTCATTTTCAGCATTTCGATGATGGAACGTCTTCAGATTTATATTATAATGGGGCTTATTACGGATGTCACATCACGGTGAAAAGTTGTCACTTGTCGTCACGGTGAAGTGATTCCCATTTGATTTGTACGGTAATCACGGCTCTTATTCTGAGTATCACTTGCTTATCACCGTGTAGTGACACCCGTAATAAGGCCCAATGATACACCATTTGGTTTTGGCTTCGGGCAAATCCAAGTATAATGCATGATAACACTGATTCATTTAAAACCATGGTCGCATCACTTATCAAGGTGAATCCTGATCCAACGAACCCAACTTACTAACAAAATCTCCTTTTCTGTGTCTTTTGTTGGGGTGCAGAGGTAAACACGGCCCACAAACAACAAAGCTCACTCTAATATTCCTTCCCTACTCCCACCTGATTGCAAGGACGTGGCCGGCGCCGTTATTGATCTACAACATATAGAGTCACTGAAACTTGTACAATGAGAATGGACGGTCACTCCCAGCCCCATTCAGTTGATTCATTGTACAATTTCACTGATTCTGATCAATCACGGAGTGCAGTCAATCTAAGCTAACCTAGCTATTGGTTATCCTATTTGTATAGTGTTTATAGTACTACATATCTTTCATTATTGACTTAACATCATTTAATATTATTGTAAATTACATTTTATTATACTTAATTCTTAATGTTAGCTATTATGAGCGGCTCCAGGGAAGCATAGTGTCAGCTTGAAAAGAAATCTGAATCGTTCATTATCTGTTTTGTAAAAATCTTGTGTTTATTGTATCTTGTTACATGGCATTATAACGCATTTTCAATATTACATTACATTTAAATAAGTATTAACGCGGTTACACACATTTCAGGTCATCCAGGTCTTAAATAAGATGGGATCCGTTCCTTTTATCAACAGTTGTGATATTGCATCATATGCTGAAAATATATGAATTATCGCGTATTTCTGTTGTTCATTACATACCAGGTGAGGGCTTAATCATGTTTTGCCATCTAGTGTTTTGGGTTTGAGATGCTCGATAACCTTAGAGGGATCGGTTTTGCTTAATGAGCAGAACATCATGGGTTTAATCCCAAGCTCTCCCACAACATAACACAACACAAACATATCAAGTATCATTCTAGCTAAAAATATTTATTTGCATAATATAACCTGGAAATTTCAGGGTTACATCTTCCTTATTGGGAGCTGAGGAGACATAGAGCTGCATCATATTGTATGTAAAATAATTATTATTTTCATTGCGGAATACCAGTTTTTTTTTATCCATGTAAATGTATTTTCATTATTACGTATTTTAATGTTCTGATATATTTCATTTCTCCATTACATATGTTTACTATATATATATAAATAAATACTGGGTTGGAAGGGAGCATCAGGGTATCATTTGACCTGGAAATGGACGATTGGAGTGGTATGACAACCGGAGTCTAGGAGGGAATAAACACTATCATTTTCTTTATCCTACCGATTCGATTGTGATGATGTGAATTCTACTCCAACAGTTTCATGGAGATTGACGCGCCCTTCTTAACAAACCATCCTGTAGGAAGCTTAATAAGTATTGCGAATTGCGTTATTCGATTTGTTGGATCGTATCGTTGGAAGGAGATTCTTAAATTCCCGTGGATTTCGCGTAAGTGCCTCTGCTTACGGGTCCACCCCACCGTTTTTGGCCCTTCATACAGCGATATTGTGAATTCAGATCTCAAATTAGCTCAAATTGATCTTGCTATTAAGTGGAGCTGCATACAAGACAAGATCTTCGAAGGGATGGTGGCTACCTTACATACTTGTCAATTTTGTAATTTTCAGGTAATTTATGGCTTATAATATTTATATCTCGAGACTGAAATTATAAAGCCTTCTATAACAACTTGCATACTAAAGCTAAACAAGTTATCTTACCAAGTATGTAAAAACAATGTCTAGATTTAGAATGATTGTATTGCATTTTGACTTAGTGTCATGCTTTAAGATATCCCAAAACGCAATTTGTTTTACAGTATGTGTTCTACGATTTTTTGCCTTGTATTATAAAAATATGCACGTTACGGCATAATGTATCTTGCTTTTTTCTCTACATTGTTTTTATGTGTCTTTCACAGATTAATGGATATAAATCGAAAAAGAGGTTGTAATTAATAGCGTTGACAAAACAATGTAGCATTGCTTTCATCTGACGACTAATGATTATTTGAATGATGGGTGAAAATAGCTCATTGCACCTTTGTCTGGAATATGAATGAATCTCTATCACGAAGTGCATTTGGTCACGTTAGCTAATGAACTGCAATCTTACGGTAATGAGTTCTATACCAGATTTGAACATCTCTTTTTGCAAAAGATTTTTTCAATTTCTATTCTTTCCATCATTCCAAAATAATCAGCCTGAGATTTAGAAGATACCACAACTCAGTATTGAAGTTTATGAAGAGGTGGCATTTGGTGAATGTGCAAATAGTTTCGGAAGTATGCTCTGCCTTTTTACAGGATTGTTGGAATATTATTTATTGCTTCTCTGCAAGACGAAAGAGAATTTTTTTTTTCATAGATAATATTTGCTCCATATTCTGTGGTCTCTTTACTTCATCTCAACTGCTTCAAATAACAATAATTATCTTTCAATTAACACGCTACTGAAGATTTTTAAACACTCAATAGCCATAGAAATTAATAAAAAAAAAAAGTTTACACCGAAGTAAGAGGATATCATCGAACTCACAACCTTCACGTTGCATGCCCCTTAATTAGTTAATATGATCAAATAATCATCAGTCGTTAGTGAAAAGCTATGCTACTTTGTTTGCTAATCTGATTGCCGCTCTTCCTGGCTGAGGTGTGCTGTGGATTTTATCCATTACAACTTCCTTTTAGATTGTTATCAGTTAATCTTTGAAAGACACATAAAACTATGCTTGAAGCAGTATATATGCTTTCAATCTTGGGATACACATATAAGACAGCCAAATAAGACAGATATTACCAGAAAATCACAAAATTGATTTGAAACATCACCAATTTTGCTAAAAAATTGTCCAGGAGCTCAACTTAACATGTTGATTTGTTTTCCGTCGATCTTGTTTTCCGTGCTGAGCACCAATGCTACCGACGCCTGGGAAGCAGCTCTCACACCTGGACCCTACCTATCGACCCATCAACTCAACCGGGGACCAATGGCTTTACTTCCCTTCCAAAGGAAGGCGTGATCAAAGATGTTATGCCTCAGAACATCCCTGCGGCGCCGACTGAGATTGAACCCAGGCCTGCTGGGGTGAGAGGTAATCACGCTTACCACTACACCACCAGCACCGTTATCTAATCCACATGTTATAAGAGAAATTATACGGGAGATTTTAACCGTAAAACTGATGTAATAGGGGAAATGGATGTAATGTTGGCCTAAATGCCCCTAATTTGGGCCCATACATAAATTCAGCAATCGATTAAATTTTCAATAGCTACCAAAAGTATCCATAAGTACCGTCCCAATGACGCGTTCATCTAGATAAAATTGATAAATAGCAGATTTTTAGCGATGGGCCCAATCTTAGATCCATAGGCCAACATTAGAGCCATTTTCCCTATGTGTTTTTTTTTTAACTTACCCCACTGTATGATGCTACAAAATGGCTGGAAGAAGCGGAATACCTCTGGTCCTCACAAGTTCCTACCTCACGCCTCCCCGACTCATATGATAACAAAAGACTAACAGCTGAAACATGGTCGCAGTTGGGTGGCATAGCCTGGGCAATGTTGCCAGTCCGGCAATAGCAAAGTGAAGAGATGCGACGTGAACACTGGCGCGGTAACCATAGTACGGTGATAGAGGAAATGCTTTACCAAAACCGAGCGTCTGTTCATCATGGAGGTGCGGCTCAAAACGGCGTCTGTCCTCCATGTTACGAGCGGCTGATCACCGTCTTAGTGCCAGCGTGGCACTCTAAACAGAGCTGTACACGATGGTCCTCCGTCGAGACAGGGGGTTGGGCAGGCCTAACAAGCCGCCAAATAGCCAAGATTGCGAGGCTGGCGAAGTGTGGCCATGGATCGAGTAGAGTGGAAATGACTTCTTCGGACAGCAGAGGACAACAAGGCCTTAGCCTGACTGGTAAGGTAAGGTACTGTATGAGGCAAGCTGAAACAACAGACACCATATATTGGTCCATCCTCTTAAAAAAGTAAGTTTTTTTTTTATTTAAACTATAGTTTAATATTTTTTCATGATAGAAGACGCTTTAACAAAAAAAATTGAGCAAAAGCAGAGAACCTTATTTGAATGTTCTCCCTGGGTAGACAATCGTCTCCCCCTGTAAGGCTCTCCCTAAGCGTCATCTCTCTTTAGCTCGGTATTTAAGAGACCTTCGAGTTAAGGCGGGTATCGATGAATTCGTGATATTAGTATGCGAAGAGTGGTTCAAGCTAGGGAGCTAGGGAGAGTTGACTAAAGTTTCCACAGGAACCCCAGAAATTCACATAAATTATTTGTTTAAATAGCAATGTTAATGATATTTATCTGAAATTCAAGAATTTGGTTTTTCGATACTTACAATATTTGCTTGAAAGCGTTTCGACTTTCACCACTCAGATATCCAAATTGGTAGTTATCCCAAGCCTCAATCACTACCATGTATGAATCTTTCTTTTCTCGATCCAAGTAATCTGCTACGACTAGCAAACCAGTATCCGGATCAATAGAAAATTTTCCCTGTTGGAGCAGAGTTTGAATGGATAAGAAGCAATCTAAATAAAACAAAAACGAAAAAAAAACTTACACTGGCGCTCACCCTATCAATCAGATACGTAACTCTACCGAACGCTCCAGAATCTGGATCGAGTGCTTGTATGATTGCAATCCTCGTTCCAATTGGCGAATTTTCATATACTGTGAGATTTGTGGCGTCAGTTGGAAAGTATGGATTATTATCGTTTTCGTCGATGACCTGAATAAATACTTCCGCCAATGTTGACCTAGATGGATAGCCAGAATCAGTAGCCCTCACGGTAAAGTTCAACCATGGAAATATTTCGTAATCGATCTTGTTGGCTACCACAACTTCTCCAGTTTCCGCATCGAGATGAAGTAGATCAGTTATTTCCTTTGGTCCTTCAAGACTGTAACGGATGGTTTTATTTTTGTCCATATCGTAGGCAACCACGCTCATAATCGTTACACCGTGTGGACTGTTCTCCGGAATGGAACGCTTATAGAAAGAGTTTTTAAATTTCGGATTATTATCATTCTCATCCTCTATCAGGATGGTTAGCGTGGTTGTTGCCGTCTGCTTTCCGGATTCAGCCGCAATGTCCTCAACAATAAATCCTAACTTGATGACCTCGACTTTCTCGCGGTCGAGAAGTTTTATTACCTGCAAATAATAGTATTGTAGTTTTTGTGCAAAATCTATTATGCGCATTGTGATATTATATATTATTATATTTCTCTCCATTTAATATACATCATCTCTAATTGCAATGAAGTTCATCAATCAAGGAAAAAGCTTTTATTTTAAGAAATATTAGAGAGCAAATCCACGCCAACTGACGAATTAGTTTACCCTCTCCGAATTCAATGAAATTTTGCATAATTGTTCACTAGGGGAAATAAACCAAGTAGGGGAAATGGACGTAATGTCGGCCTAAATGCCCCTAATTTAGGTCCATACATAAATTCAGCAATCGATTAAATTTTAAATAGCAACCAAAAATATCCATTAGTACCGTCCCAATGACGCGTTCATCTAGATACAATGCTAAATAGCAAATTTTTAGCCATGGGCCCAATCTTAGATCCATAGGCCAACATTAGAGCTATTTCCCCTATGTGCTAGAATTCAGACATTTTCAATAAATCTTAGCACGAAAACGGCTCATCTAATCAAAATGATATCTAGGGAAAATTTGTAGAAAACTGGATTGTCCATTTAAAAAAAAAAATACCCACTGAAAAAATAACACAATGTTTGTCAAAAAATGAAAAAAAAACACTGTTAAAAACTGTTAACAAAAAAAAAGAACACTTTCAATATTTTTCTGCTATTGGACACAATGGACACTTTAAATAACTTTAAATCGTATAGAACATCGACTTTTAGTTAAAATTCTGAACATTTTTTATGAATAAATTACAAAAAAATATTGAGTGAAAAGATGTTCAAACATTTTACTAATAGTTGATGATCTACGATTTTTGTCAGTTAATTTGAACATCTTAAAATAAAGGGGATGACGCGGGAAGATGGCCACCCCGAGTAAGATGGCCATCCTTTGGATTAGTGTTGCATTGTTGATTGGCGTTGGCCAATTGTTGCACACTTCACATTGTTTACTGTGAAGCTAATCAGTGATCATTTGTTGAATGATTAAACATGTGTTTTCAATATTCAGTATAAGAAATATTGTGATAAAACATGTTCTAAGTTCAGAGGGGACACCGGTATAGTGGTTACCACACATACCTATCACGCCAAAGTCACGAGTTCAAATCTCACCCCGGACAAGTCACGAATGACCCAAAAGTGACTATAATAATAAAAAAATGTTCTAATTATTTTTGACATTGTACATATGATGGCGACTTCTAAATTTTTCAGTTAATAATCCTCAGTTGTAAAATAAGCTATGCATTACTAGATCACAATGCAATCAAATAAATTATTCTTTGAAGGGAAATGTGGGTTATTATTTTATCTATCGATGAATTGCAATACACCTATCAACCATGCAACATTTACAGAAAAAGTAATAATGTTCGATAATTGGATCACATTTGGACTCTTTTTTTTTAAGCATTTTACATTCCCGTGCTTTTTAATGGAGAAAATAAATAAATTAAACTCTTTTATTTATACTATAGCACGAAACCTGTTTATATAGACGAGATAAATTCGATAGAAACTGTTTAAGAAAATGTTCATCTAGACCTTATTCTTAGCCGCATCCTCACACCGCGATGGTACTGCATCGTTTTATGGTACTTTTTAAAACTTTCTAAACAAACTATTTTAGTTCGACGATGCATTTGTTTTTTTTCCTACCACTTATAGTGCCGGTGGACGAATAACTCTCCCATCCCAAGTAACATTGAAAGATTTATCTAGGTTTTAAAGCATGCTACAAGTGTAAAGCATGGTCTACAGAACCCTCATAAAAACAAAATTGTTACTTGGGATGTGACTTTTCGACAATTATGAGGTTTTAATACTCAACGCCACAATTTGATACGTACTTCTGGAATATTATGTAATCACATGCTGTTTATTCTATTCTAGATAAATTTGAAAAATAAAATTCAAGTCAATTTGTCCCACTTGAATGGTGGACGCATACGTCTGCATGGAACAGTTCTGCGTCCACCGGCAGTATAATCTCCGAAACTCCTCCTACACAATAAAATTGATTTTTCAGACACTTATTACCACGTGTATACATAGTCAAAGGATTTTTTCAATACGTACCCTTATCAATCCATCCGTGGAATTCAACATAAATGCTGATAAAAAGTCATACTCGCTTAATTTCACCAGTCCTCCTTCTTCCGATCTAGCTTCCGAACTGTTGTTGTCCATGTAGTATCGAAGAATGGGATCTTTATCCAGATCGTTGGCTATTAATCTATATGCATACGTTCCGACTGGCGTGTTTTCTCGGATTGATATGGTTCCAGGATCCAAGAAATATGGTGATTTGTTATTCACATCGTTGATTGTTATATTCACCTTGCAGTAGGTTTGTAACTGCTGTTCACCTATTCCTCCGTCTAATGCCAGCACACTAAGAGAATACTCCGTTGCTTTAGGATCTGTCATATCTGGATCTAAAGTAGCCCCTGTGGCGACTGAAATAACCCCAGTATCCGGACTGATAACGAATTTGTCACTCGCTCCGCTATGTATCCTATAAACAATGAAATTATTCGGTGATGATCCATCTTTGTCTATGGCTTTGACTTCCACAATGTGGCTGCCACTTGGTAAGTTCTCTGGAACAGATTGAGTGTACACCGAGTGTAGAAATTGAGGAGCATAATCGTTCACATCCTGAACATAAATTATCACCGAAACTTTTGAACTCAACTTTGGAACTCCACCGTCCGATGCCAACACGGTAAGATATATTGGTCTTATGTTGAACGTGCCGCTAGTAAGAAGCTCAAAATCAATAGGAGTTACGGGGGTAAGGTGGCCTGTCTTCATATTAATGGTGAAGTTTTCTCTGAACTGTCCTTCAATAATGTCAAATTTGATTTCACTATTTTTCGTTCCATTTAAATCAGCATCCCGGGCTTCCAAAACTAGCGGCGTTTCAAATGAAAGCTTATTCTCCATTAAGCGGGCCTCATATGTACTTTGTAGAAACAATGGTGCGTTGTCATTAACGTCTAAAATGTGCACGACCAGTTGAACCGTATTTCGATTTCCTCTTCCCAAATTATCCCTCGCTTCGATCGTTAAGTAATGTTTTTGCACTATTTCCCGATCCAGAGCATGTCCTCCGGGTGATTTTATTTTAATGACACCAGTAAGTGGATTCAGTGCCAACAGGTCCGCTATACTGCCAGATAAATTAATAAATCGTATGCCACTTGTCCCAAAATCACCCGAATCGACATCAACAGCCTGAACCTGCGTCAGCAGAGCTCCTACTCCACTGTTCTCAGGAAGATAACACTCGTACACAGCCTTAGAAAATTCTGGAAAGTTGTCATTTTGATCTCTAACGTGAACCATAATGTTTGCCATGGTATGTTTTCCCTCCGATGCTATTTCTCTGGCATGAATCGTAAAATTCATTGATCTCACCTTCTCATAGTCTAGCAAATCTGGATCTCTCACACGAAGGATAAACGTTGCCTCGTTAACTGCTCTACTGGGTGAAATTTCGAACAAACCATTGTTAGGTTCTAAATAGAGATCGAATGTGCCGTTATGTCCTTGGTCGTAATCGAAAACTTCATTCCTGGAGAACCCAATAAACGATACGGGAGTATTTTGCTGCGCATTTTCGTTGATTTCACATTCATACGAGTGGTTTCTGAATGTAGGGGTCTCATCATTGACATCGGTGATGATGATTGTGATTTCCGTTCTAACCGATGGAGCTGGCTGCAATAAAATGAGAAAATCAATTTTCCGTTCAGAACGCAAATAATCAAAACTGCTATGCAAATATGATGGATGGATCTAAGATTGGGCCCATGGCTAAAAATCTGTTATTTATCAATTTTATCTAGATGAACGCGTCATTGGGACGGTACTAATGGATATTTTGGTGGCTATTGAAAATTTAGTCGATTGCTGAATTTATGTATGAGCCCAAATTAGGGGCATTATGTCTTTACATGGCCGGGGGGATACAAAGAGAGTCGACGAAGAGAATCTGTAAATGGTACTTAGGACCTAACGCAATGTTCAGCTTGATATAAGGTCGTTGAACATAAACTCCTAAAATTAATGCATTGAAAAAAAAAACTATTTCATCGGTTTATAAGCAGCGGTCCTCCCATCTAGCGCTAAATCCTTAAATGTATTTCTAGCTGTAATATGCTTACGCACGCAGTCACACGCAGGCATGGAAAATCATTTGCATTCATTTCGTGCATTCATTTACATTCATTTGCCCCTAACTTTTTTCATCAACAGAATTCCGCAAAATGATGTATGGAGCTTTTGTAGGTTTTGTTATAAACTACAACCTTTGTCAAGAACTCAAATCCGTATCTCTTATGCATGACGAACCAAAGCAAACAGAATCCACTACTGTTTTTCAGTGAATGTATTTTACATTCACTGAAAAACAGTAACGAGTTCTGCCCGCTCTAATTCGTGATGCATAAGAGGTACAGATTTGAGTTGTGGGCAAAAGTTGTAGCTAATAACAAAACCTACAAAAGCTCCATACATCATTTTGCGGAATTCTGTTGATGAAAAAAGTTAGGGGCAAATGAATGTGACTCACACGCACCATACATCAGCCTCCACATGGGCCCAAGATAGTGAAACCATGGCCCGGAACCAACAGCTTTACTTCCTTTCCGAAGGAAGAACTGATCAGACATTTATGACCTCGGTTTATCAAACTCACCCAACAGTTTCACTTGGCAAAATTGGTAAATAAAATCGAAAAGAAATTTAAATATTCGAAAATATCCGTTGTTTATCGAACGCTTTAGACCGCTTCACCAAATGGAACACAGCCTTAGAGGCTGAACAACTACCACTCCATGTCAAAGAAAACAGTAAGAATTTGTTGCGATATCTTTTTCGCTTTTACGCATTTCCATTTTGACCGAGCTGTAGTCTGACTTTCTTAAGACGTGCTCAGCACACCATATTCACCCGATTTTTGCGGTAGCTGGTGCAATTCCCGGTTCATTTTCCTACACTCAAAAAATTCCACACGTTTGATCGAAGTGTTTAAACACTTGATTTTTTAAATGCACAATCACATTTACTTTAAGTGTATTTAACCTTGGTTCAATGTGTTATACACGTTAATTTATAATGTTTCAAATTTTGAAAAATCACAACATCGAAAACAAGAGTTGTGACTTTATCCTATCAACCCGCCTCATATATGAGAACAATCGTGGCACAGTCAGATCGAACGAAGACTCCAGCAGCAGCACACCCCAACAGTCCATGATCGAATCCCAAATCAGACCCATTAAGGGGAAGCTCACCGGCCCAAAAATAAAAAAAAATATTTTCGGTACGTTTTTATTTTTCTAAAAATATTGGGAAAAATTATCAAAAATCCAAGAAAATCAGTTTCTTCCTTAGATTTTTGTCAAAAATTACATGCAAAAAAAAATTTTCTATCCCATCATGAAAAAAAATTGGACTCTCAGAAAAACCGAAAAGTTGATGTTTTGTGGTTTTTTGAGTCCAACTTTATGCCATAATGACTTATAAAAAATGTTTTTGCACGTGAATTTTCTTTGAAAAATTAAAAAATAAGTGATTTTCTTAGAATTTTGATATCTTTTTCCAATATTTTTAGAAAAATCAAAACGTAATTATTTTTTCGGAGCGGTGAGCTTCCCCTTAAGAAGATATGTGAAAGCTCTGGCCTCTGGCAGTTTTGTTTATATATTTGTCGATTCATTTTTAGAGTCGGTAAAGTAGAAGTCGGTAAAGCAGAATATTTTAGAATATTGAACTATTATGTGTTAAGCTATTGATATCACCAAATGAGGCACATAGAATCCAAGTGTGTCACAATTCAAATCCATAGTGTTCAGGCATGATTCATAGCATAAAATTCACACATTAAATGGATGTGTTTCACAATAAGCGCAAAATTAAGAGTGAGACACATGATGATGACGTGTGGAATTTTTTGAGTGTAATCCATGTTCCATCTTCCATCTACACTTCGCCGTAGATGGTACGCAATACCTTCCATTCAAAACACCACAGTCCTCCACGAGCTGGTCTACCGGTCAAATCAGCCTTTTGTAGATATTATTTTCACGGTGCGACGCAAATATATACTACATTTTAGTGCAAATTTATTCTTAATTTCGTTAATTCTGGAATCTATTTTGGGAATTCTTGCCTCTTCGTGTAAATTTGTTATTCTAGTGTTGAAATGACGATCAAGTACCATCCTCAGAACTCTATTCTGAGCTACCTGGAGTCTGTGCACATGATTCCCACACCGGAGCTGCGTAGTGGATCGCACGTGCTATGATTTGTTTGTAGACAGCCAGTTTGCTCACCCTTTAGAGGCGGGATCTGCGGCAAATCAGCGGATACAGATACCTAACCAAGGCAGAACACTTGACTACAGTTGTCTCTTCGGCAGACCAATCGACCCTAGTGCCATCCATGATTACAGTACAAGATTGAGCCGGTTTCAGTTTAGGCGATTTCCGATGGAGAAACAAGATCGCTTGGGTTATAGTAGTGTTGATTTTGATTTTCCACGTGGTGGCATAATCAGCAATGAGCGGACTTTGGATAGTCGAGCCAAGAAAATGCGATGAAGCGACATGCTCGCCGATTGCATTTGCTTTCTCCTGTGGGGTGATTAAAAACTGATCGTCATCACTTTCGACTCTGAGAGGTGGAACGGGTTTGGGATGAGTTTTCAGGACCCTGGCTACCTTCCAGAATGGTCTGGAGCGGTCCTCCTGATTCTGGAAAACACGCCCAAAACTTTCATCCGGGAATTTCACTGTATACAGTCCATTCTGCTAGAGGTCGAAGAGTAGACGTCCGTTCTGATTCTGCTTCGCGGCGGGCATTTAAATCGCCCCCAATGACGAATCGTGAGCTCGTGCGAGTGATGGTAGTCAGGTCATTCTTGAATTGGATGCCTAATCCATTACTGGCAGCACACTGACGAGGGCAGTAGACTGCGATTAACCGGACATTTCCAGTTGGTGATTCCACCTCCATACTAAGGGCCTCGATGATAGAAGTGCGGATATGGGGTAGCATGCAGAACTTGATTCCTTTCTTGATGATGATTGCAACACCAAGAGTCGATACGATCAAGCTGGATAATGTGGTGATCAAGTAACCAAAAGCTGTCACTGGATTTGAGATGGGTCTCTGTTAGGAGGCCCACGTCGATACTATGCTTGCGAAGGAAGTCAGCAAGCTCGAGCTTTTTTGCTCTTACAGAGCAAGCGTTCCATGTGACGACAGTTATCGGTTTAGACACCATACTGAATAATAAACTTACCGAGCACTTGGATCTGTTCGGGCTTGCTGCGGCACTGACGAAGAGCGCTGGTCATGTCGACGAAAATCTTCATCAGCTCATCAGCAGAGAAGAGATCGGGATTGAGGTTTTGTGCTCATGGTTGTCTCCAGAATCCAAGGGGGATAGGGAGCTTTGTCCAGCAGAAGCACCAGACGTTTCTTGACGAGGGCCGGATTGCACCCGCGGATTTGCTTGACCGTGTTTGACCAAATCTTCGCGTTTCGGGCACTGCTTGTCGGCACCTTGATGAGCGCCATCACAGTTGGCGCATTTGACTGTTTCCGACTTGTCAACATCACACTCGGAGGATTCCGTATCGAGTGCTGAGCCAGTTAACAGTCCTGGTCTCTTCATACGACACTCGTTTTTTTATCGCGTTTCCATCACTCTCGTTGATTAAAAAAAATGTTCAGGTGAATCGCGCACGGTTTTAGGAAGCAGCTATCGTAAGCTGAGTCTTACGTATAGACTGTGCACCTTTACCCCATTGATCGATCGTTATCAAATCATTACCATCACCATCGCATCATCTCCGTCAATAGCCGCATCGTAGCAGCAGCAAACGGAATACCTAGCTGCACCGGCTGATAGGTTGTTTACACAACCGACATAAGTATTAATATTTGCAAGTCCATTGCCTCCCTATTGTAGTTTAATTAATCATTTTGTCAAGCTTCTGCATTCATGTTCCATCAGATGTCACTGCTGTTGTTTGTGGTGACATCTATCGGAAACTAGACACAATATGTTTTCCTATAATTGTTCACAGAGGACACTGCAGGGCAAAACATGTCTGGTACTTCTATATATGCATTTAGATTATTATTCGAAGTCCCTCCTTTTTTCACATTCTGCACACAAAATAGCTCACCCCTCACAGAATTTCCCGCCGAATTTTATGTATGGGGCGGGGCATAAAGTATCTTTTGCGCAGAATATGTAAAAAAGGAGGGACTTCAAATGTTAAAGCAAATGCTTATATAGAGGTACCAGACATGTTTTGTAGTGTCAGGTACTCTATTTTTTGTAATCTGTGAAAGGGAAATCACAAATCGAGTGTCAACAAAATACATGGCATGTTGAGAGAATGAGCTCGTGAGAGAGAATTTCTGTCTCAAATTTGAATTTTTTTGGCTCTCTGGGGACTGGTAGTAAAGCAGGTAAAATTGTATGGGGAAAAATCATTTTTATTTAATTGTAGCTTGTTTAGCATTAATTTCCGGGAAAAACTGAACGACAAAGCCCCTGACTAATTTCTTTAGGTTGTCGTTCACTTTTTTTGACCTGAATATGCACCGAAAGCGAATTATTCCCACTTCTCTCAATTTCTATATGGGGATTTTTATCACTTCCTACCAGCGGAACAGCGCCATCTCTGTGGAAAATGGTC